CTGACAAATAGCATTATGCTTGCAACTGATAATTTTGGAGATTCAGAAATTTTTATTGTTTTATTTATTAAAATGCCTTGCCCATCTTGTATAGAAATATACATTCTGCTCACGTCTGTACCAGAGCAATTCGACAGAGAATCTACCCCTATTATGGTTGTCCAAGTGAAGAATTGGCTGGGGGCGGGGGTGGAGCACAGCGTTTTGCTCCACTGAGTGTTTTGCTCACTCTACTTGGCAATGCAGATAAAAGAATCAAGTTACATTCTCCCTTAAGTTTCTAAGGTGAAAAGGGAACACTTGATTCTGTGCCCCCCCATCCCCTGCAAAAAACCCAAAACCAAAAAAAAAAACAAAAACAAAAACAAAAAACCCCTTTCCACTTGCCAAATCTGATACCAAAAGTTAACTAGCTCTTGGAACTATGCTTCTAAAGAAAACACATTAGTGGGAATTTTAACAGAACACCTATTATACCCATGCTGGTACTAACACTTCTGCAAGTTCTTCTCTTCAGAAAAAGGGTCTCATTTTAATACTAATATTTCTAAAGAAAATAAAACAGTAATTGCCTACTAAAATTCCTTTCTTGGGGGTGGAAGAACAAAAGAATGAAACATTTTCCTATCCTGTTCAACAACCACACAGCGCAGTGCTGCAGGAAATCAACCCCAAAGAATGAAAACCCAGACTAAACAATGGATTTCTAAACAACTGAAAGTTTAAGGGTTCTATCTGTCCTTTAATGCATCCGCCATTGAGGTCAATTTTAAAAAATACATATTCTAATTATAAATTTTCATCTCGTCAGTATCTCTTAATACATAAACAAGTCATAAAAGGCAATCAAAGTGCAGAGACTTAACACAGTTTCAGGATTAGGATGCTCTTCTCCTTCATTGTTATTTTACTATGCAATTTAACACACTACTTCATGATAACTGATAACAATCTATGAACAAATCTCAAGTTAAATAAAGAGGAGAAAAAACAATGGTTCTTGGAGATTGGTGTGACACTGGCAGTGAGACACTCAAGGTGAGCTAAGGAGGTGTGGGCTCTATTTCCAGACTACTCTGAGTTATTTTTTGACATTTAAGAGTATGCATTTACTTCACTGTCTTTCCTATATATACTCATGGTTTCAAAATAGTAAGTATTAACAGAATCACTGGATGTATCAGCACGTTCCTTTAGAAGAGCTTAAAACACTCTTGATGTTTATGACCTCATTCACCTGGCGGTGGCTGTGTGACACCAAAAGGAGAGGATTATAATTACCCCCATTTTACAGACAGAGAAAGTGAGAAGGAGGGATTAAGTGGCTTGCCTGTAGTCACACAATGACTCATTAAGATCAGCAACTAGAAACCTGGTTTCCTGATTCCTGGTTTAGTGTTCCACATACTATGCTTCCTTCTATGAAGTACTATTTTTGTAAAGGTTTCTCTTTCAATACAGGAAATAGAACAAGTCATGTGACTTTCATTCACGAAAGCCTGTGTGTTTTCATTAGCACCTTTGTCGTCTGTCCCTGCGAACAGGGTAGGAGCAGTGCATGGCATTGTCTCACTACAGCGTGAGCTAGCCAACGAAAGCAAGGCAGCATACTGACAGCAAAAATAAAGCTTGCGTGGTGTGTCAAGTAATCTCAGGGGAATCCTAAAAATATGCCAATTCTCTGCTTTAAGACGTCAAAAGGCAATACTTTTAAACAGAAATTGTGATTTTATTGTTCCTTTGGAAACATTTCCCTTATCTCATAATTCTTTCACCAAAGAAACAAAATTTAAATACAGATGCTTTCAGGGATAATTCTTATCTAATCTGCTTTATACAAATATATAAACCAATTTTAGAATGAAAATTCCACTAAAGAGGAACACTAAAATACCATATTTTATAGTACACACCTATACTACTAATACAAAATTATATAAAGTGAATTTTAAAAAGTGGTTTTAGAGCATAACATATTTACAGTTCCCAAAACAACAACGAAATGCTAACAGCCTTGTTAGATTTTTCTGCATATGCTCACACAAAACACATGGCAAGGAACATTGTCTTGCTCCCCAATAAGAGGCCTAATTTAGAGTCTGCTCCGGACTAGTAAAATATACACATCTATGGTGCACTTTTAAATCAGCCCTTGCCTTTTAAGCACAACCTCCATCCCCAATTCTACTGTAAACAACTATCACACATTGCTGGAACTTCACTTCTCTGTTACCACTTATGCAAATACTAAACACTACCCCAGTAACCCCAAATTACTCAGCTTCAGCATCACTAATGAGGTTTTCCCATGCGGAACATGAGGAGCTCGGTGTGGAAACACAGGCCACTTCTAAGAGCCAGGCAGGGAGGCCGGCCGCCCAGAAAGTGCTTTCTCTACTTCATCTTCAAAGGAATGCTTTGCAAGTCTGACTTCTATAAATCATTCTTTCAAAGGACATGTACTTACTGTGAACTCTTTATTTATGGGCACCACAAACAAATTTCTATGTACATATGTGAGTTAAATAAAAGTGGATGTGCATTTCGAGTTTCTAAATGTTCCCTTTCTGTTTCAACAGACCAGAACTTTCGTGCTATGTTGACTAAGATGGCACTAGTGTTTCCTATTCTGCTGTTCTCTGTGTTCAACTTAGTTTACTAGAAATCCAACTTGGCAGATTTTTCTTTTTTTTTTAAATGTGGTGTTGGCACAATGGACTGACTACAGTCATCTATTTTGATTTAAAATTGTTCTTTTCCTTCTTAGAAGGGTGTTTACCATAATACCCCCATAACAGCAGCCAAAATGATATCTCATCTTTGTTCAGTAACCATACAATGCACACTGCTGTTTGGATTTCAGAATCATGAATCCTATAGGCTGAAAGCAATTTTAGACTGGTGTGAAATCTTAAACAAAAGCTAAATCAGGCCTCTAAATAAACTTATCTCTTGCAGTTCAAAATTTTCACTTGTCTGAAAAGGTCATTATCTCATATACAATCCCGTTTCTAAATGTATCCACTTTATCAGAAAGGCTTTGATCCCCTCAGGCCTGTAGGCGCTAACTGCGGCTTCTGCCTCCTGCTACAGCAGAACCCACTCCCGGCCCCACCTTAATACAGTTCCGGCCTGCACCCCTGCTCCACTGAAGGCAGAAAAAGAAACACGTTATGTTCTCGGGTTGTTTTTCTGATTACAATCAGACTTGGGCAAAAGGTAGTTAATTCCATGTTCACTATGGCATACCAAATAAATTTGTGTGTGTGCCTGTTTATTTTCCCCACTTATTTATACTTCCGTATTTATATGGTCCATGTCTTATTCAGCAGCTAACCCTTCAACTCTCTGACACGCTGGTAATGGTGTTTAATGTAACTCCAAGCAAAGTGACCTTCAGCTCAGACTCACTGTTCATGGGATACATTCTGACGACTTCCAACTGATTTAATTAGGTGCTGAAGCACCATACTCCTGAAGATTCTCTCTCTTTTCTTCTTCTAATCTATGATTTTAATTAAAAAAAAAGAAACAGCTTTTCCTGTCTTACCCTAGGCTAACAGAGTATTCACCCTATAGCTATAATTTTAACTCTCAGGGACCAACAGTCCCAAGTATACTATAAAACATACTGGATTTAGATAGCATTAGATTGGTCTGCTTACTTTAAGAACAAAAGGCACGTGGATCTCCAAGCCACCTCGATCATCACCTTATAACCTAGCTGCTGCAGACTGTTTACACCTTCAGCCAGCATCTAGAACCGCATCCAAATAACACTATTTGCTACTCTGCTAGCAACCCTGCAAAGAAACAGCTACGAAATTAAAGAAACTCTCTTAAATCAAACATTCAACTCCCTTTTGCCTCCTCCCCCAACCCACACACACCATTCAAAGTTTGGGTCGGCCAGAAAGCACCACCAGCTGCCAAGTAACTATGCACATCGCTCTCTCCTCATGGATATTTGATGAGGATGGGAAGAACAATGCCGGGCACCCTCATAGCCAATTGTTCTTGAAAAGACCTATGTTTTTGTCTTTCACTTATTTTCTCTAAAGCACTGATTCTAAATCTTGGCTGCATATTAAAATCATCTGGGCAACTCTGAAACATGCTGGTCCCTGGCCTCTGCCCATCTGATGTTTTACTTGGATGTGTTTGGGATGAGGCCCAACAGGTAATTTCTCAAACCTACCCAGGTGACTCTCACCTGGGACAGGCGTCCCCAGAGAGTGGGCCTGCATCCACAGCAGCATCAGCATAATGTTGGGATTCATCAGAAATGCACACTCTGGGCCACACCCCAGAGCTCCAGCACGGGAAAGTGCAGGAATCACAAGCCAGACATCCATGTCCTAGCCAAGCCCCAGGTGACTCCCACGTCCGTGCCAGCCCACCACTGTTTACCTTGTGTTTAAGCAATGTTACCCTTCCATCCTTTAAGAGAAAAATAATGCCTCTGATGGAAAGCTCCTGCAGTTTATGTGTAAAATTGAAACGGTTAACTGTTCCCTTTAGCTGCCTGCCACCAAAATGGATGCTCACTTCTTAAATGCCTTTCAGGCCTGTGTTTATAAATCTGGAGGCTCAGCAACGATCAGCAGGGGCCCTGCTCCAGGTGAGGTGGCTGTGGCCTGGGGAGAAGTCAGGTCCTCCGCACCAGAACGTCCCCAACCACCCCCTCCCCAGGACTGTCTCTGCCTGCTCTGGCTGGCCTCAGGAGAGAACTTGCGCAGCGTGCCCAGATGGGGAGAAAAGAGCTATGGGACACAAGTGGGCTGGGCCTAAACAAAATCAAAGTCCATTCACCTCAAAGACTATTGGACTGCTCTTGGCAAGTTCTCTGAGGGAGAACATGGCAGCCAAAAGTAAAACAAAACAAAAAGTCTCCGCCAACATGTTGGCATTCAAGTCAAGGTACCAAACAAGGGAAGACAAGTGAAACCCAAAGATGCTCACCCCTCCTTCCCACCAGGCTCAGAGTCAAAGGGCCTCACCTTTCACAATCGTGGCCTCCTTCAAATGATGGGACAAGAAGTCAATGCTGGCGTAGGTGCTGGCAGAGGGCAGGGCGCCAGGGCCCGGCCCCCCGCAGCCCCCGCTGCCGCCACCGCCCACAGTGCTGATGAGGCCTCCAAGACTACGGGTCCGCCCCCAGGAGCTCTTGTCTCCGGGCTGCGGCTGCGGCTGGGTCAGGCCCGGCTCGTCCCTCACGTCGATGGCGATGTAGTTGAGGCCATTCTGGAAGCCGGCAGAGGTCTCTCTGCGCATTGGAGAACCACTGCCCCCAGGGCAGCCGACCAAGCCCCCTGGCTGAGCTGGGGCCCGAGGGCGGGCCTGCGGCGGGAGAGCGGGCACCGGGAGTGACGGCTGTAGCTGTCTGGGGGACGTGGGTGCCTCTTCACCGCCTCCTGGGCCCCCACTGAGGACGCTGCCACTGCCCTCGCTGCTTTTCCTGAGAGACACGTTTTCCACTGAGGCCGAGTTGTGGCGCTTGGGGTTGTGGGCGAAGGATGGGGACACGGGGGTGACGGTTGTAGTGGAGGAGAAAGTTTCCGAGCTGTGGCGGCGGCGCCCCCCCTGTGGGTCTGCGCGGATGACCTTGGCGCCCCGGTGTGGGTCTGGGGGCTGGCTGGCCTGCAGGAAGGCCTCGACCCCCGACACCTGATCCATAAGACTCAGCCTCTTCACGCCGGACGTAGGGCTGGTCACGCGGGCACCCTCGGGCTTTGGGGGAGCCGCGATAGGTTGTGGCGGGGTGGCAGCCACGCCAAAGGCCATCTCGGTGTAGTCACCATTGTCCCCATTCTCGGAGGACAATGACGAGGCAGCGCCAGGGCCCTGGGTGGTGGCCACAGCCGAAGCTGGAGGCAGGCGGTACAGCTCCCCTGGGGGTGGCGGGGGGGCCGGCTGCTGCAGGGACGCTGGAGAGACCGGAGGGCGCGGGGGCAGCGGTGGGTATGGAGAGGAGGCCTCAGGGGAGAGGAGGGCGTCCAAGGAGCCCACGGGGTCCCCGCTCTGGGTGCCAGGCTTGGGTGACTTGGGCGAGCTGAAATCAAGGTTCATGTAGTCGGAGAGCGGGGAGCGCTGCCGGCTGTCACTGCTGGTGCCCGGCGTGCCCGAGCCCAGGGACGAGGCTGGGCTGCCAGCGGACAGCAGCGAGCAGGATGAGGCCGCCGAGGCCAGCAGCGGAGGGGCAGGCGGCGACAGGCGGGCTCCCGCCTCGCCAAAGTCAATGTTGATGTACTCGCCGGGGCTCTTGGGCTCTGGCGGCAAAGGGTACTCGTGCATGCTGGGCAGGGTCTGCAGCCCCTCCAAGGACAGCCGCGTGGGCCTCACGGCTCGACAGCGCTGGCTCAGGAAGCCCTCTGGACGGCCACTGCCACTCGGCCTCACGGGTGAAGGCACTGGGTGATGAGGCTGGGTGTGGCCACCCCCACCGACCCCAAAGGCGCTGGCCGATGGAGTGGTCCCCAGGGTGGCCTGTGGCTCCAGCCTCTCCTCTTCCAGGATCCGCCCCACGGGGGCGCTCATGAGCACATACTGGTCGTTGCCCCCGCCGCAGGTGTATGGCGCCTTGTAGGAGCGGGGCAGAGAGCTGTAACAGTAGCCTGGGACGCCTTTGAGCATCTCGCCCCCGGCGTGCAAAGCTGCAGAGAAGAAGTCGGGTGGAGTACCGGAGGTGCCCACGTCGCTGGGGGACATGTTGAGGTAGTCCCCGTTGGGAAGCAGCTTGCTGTCGGCATTCTCCATGGACAGCTTGGAACCACACCACATCCGCATGTACCCACTGTCCTCGGGGGAGCTCTCCGCGGGGGAGCTGGTCTTGTAGCCGCCCCCGGTCCCCGCAAAGGTCCTGCTGGCTGCAGCGGCGGGCGCTGGCGCGGCGGCTCCCGCGGGAGGCAAGGCTGCAGTGGCCGCCCTGGGCTGCAGGATCTGCTTTGGGGCAGACACACTGGTGGGGCTCATGGGCATGTAATCGTCGCTCTTGCAGCTGCCCCCGCCACTGCCCATGAGGGCCACGCCAGGGGTCATGGGCATGTAGCCGTCGTCAGCGCCCAGGTTGCTGCTGGAGCTCCTGTGGGATCCAATCTCGATGTCCCCGTAGTCCTCCGGGTAGGGGTGGTAGGTCACTTTGGGAGAAGACGCAGGGCACGACGGGCACAGGCGGCCTGAGCTGCCGGAGAAGGTGGCCCGCATCAGGGTGTATTCATCCAAGGAGGCTGAGGAGGGCTGCGGCACGGGCCGCTGCCGGGCAGGTGTGGTCAGCGAGTAAGTCCTCTTCCTCAGTCCTCTGTCCAAGTCCTGCACGCCGTCCCCTGAGACCCTGCGGTAGGGGCGGCCGCAGTGGCTCAGGGGCCTGTCCATGGTCATGTACCCATACAGCTCGCCCCCGCCGCCGTCCCTGGTCGGGGGTGTCTCCGCGATGGACTCGGGCGTGTTGCTCCTGTGGCTGCAGAAGGCTCTCAGGTCGCCAGGGCTGGAGCCGTACTCGTCCAGGGACATGAAGCCGGGGTCGCTGGGGGAGCCGGAGGCTGAGGCGCTCCCGCTGGAGGGCCGCTGGCCTGGGGGGTGGTGCAGGGGGTGTGGCAGGTGCGGGTGGGGTCCCGGAGGCGGCGGGTAGGAGCCTGAGCCGTGCCCGCTGCTGGACGACAGGCTGCCGGGGCTGGTGGCAGTCGGGGGCGAGTGCGCCACCGGCATGGACATGGAGCGGCTGTGTTGCAGGGCGCCCCCTGCCGGCGCCAGCGTCACTTTGCTCCCGCGGCCACCGCAGCCGCCGCTCAGGGTGTGCGAGCGGCTCAGGGGCGCGCGCACCGGCCCGGGGCTCAGGGGGCTCCCCGCCACCGACACCGGCCTGCCGCCCGCAGCCCCGGTCCCCGCTGCCGCGCCACCGTCGCCCTCGCTGGCGGTGCGCACTCGACAGGAGTTGCACTTGGCGGCCGGCGGGGTGGCGGCCAGGCTGTCGGTGCGGGAGCGGCGCACCAGGCCAGTCTGACTCGGGGGCAGGTTGACCAGGTGGTGATGGCGCCGCGCGCCGGGGACACTGATGGGGTGCGTGGCTGACGACCCTGACGACTGGCTCTTGCTGCGCGGCCGGAACTCGAAGAGCTCCTTGAGCGCCTTCATGGCCTCCAGGATGGTCTCGTGGATGTTCTGCGCCACCACCGAGTCGTCGGCCTGCATCCACAGCTCACCGGGGCCGGTGACCGCCGAGCGGCCCACCTCAATAAAGAAGAAGCTGTCCGAGTGGCCGCAGCGGCGGATGTTCATGAGCTGCAGCGTCACCGACGGCTGCTCGCAGTTGAGCTTCACGAAGCCTATGGTGCGCGCCGACAGGCACAGGCGGTACACGCCCGTCAGGTTCTTGCTCTGGCCCAGACCCTTGGGCTTCAGGTTCACCTGCCACACCTCGCGGTAGGCGGCCGTGGCGGGAGACACCAGCCCGTAGCTGTCATCCGCCCCGGCGGCGCCGGCCGAGCCGCCCAGGGCGCCCGGCAAGGAGGCGCTGCAGGACCCGGAGGTGGCCGCGGCGTTGGAGGGCGCGTCGCCGGCGCCCGCGCGGCCCTCGCTGACCAAGTCGGTGAGCGCGCGATACCAGCCCTCCTGCTCCTGCTCGTTCTCTGCTGCCACCGCGAAGTACTCGTCCTTGGTGTAGAGGGCGATCAGGTACTTGTGCTTGGCGTCGGCGCGCTTGTTGATGTTCAGGCAGCAGTCGAGCGCGATCACCCGCTTCGGGGCGCCCGCCTTGCTCCGCCACTTCTTCTCGCTCTCATAGTACTCGAGCCGCGGCGGCTGCGGCGCCGACCCCCCGCCCGCTGTCGCTGTCGCTTCGTCGCTGCCCGCGCCAGGCCCGCGCAGCACGAAGAAGCGCTTGTGGCCGTGCTTCTGCTTGCGCAGGTAGCCGCACTTGCGCACGCCGTGGTTGTTGTTGTTGTTGTTGTTGAGGTTGGGGCCGTCTCCGCTCGCCGGCCCCGGGGGCCCGTGCAGCGGCGGGCTGGCCATCACCAGCGCTTCGGGCCGCGCCGCCCGGCCCGGCGTGGAGGTGCTGGGGTGAGGTGCCGAGGGGGCGCGGGCGGGGGCGGCTCCCTCCCACCCTTTCGCCCGGCCGCCCGCCTGAGCACGCGTCCCTCGGGCCCAGGAGGTGGGGAAGGTCCAGAGAGGCCCGCGGGGGCCAGCACCGCTCGGTGGCGCAGCGCCCTCCGCGCTCCGGGGCTCCCGAGGATGCCCGGCGCGGGCGGTGGCCGCCCCCGGGCCCGGCTGCCCGCGGCCGCTGCCTCCCGGGGTTCTCGGGCGGCGCCTGGGGACTCGCTGGCTGGGCCGAGAGTCGGGGTCTCGGAGCCGCGGGGCCGAGCCTAAGGCGCGCGCGGCCACACGGGTGCTGCTGCCGAGACGCGCTTCGGGAAGCCGGGGTGCGCCCGGGCACTCGGGGTCCGCGCCGCCGCCGGGGCTGCTGCTGCTGCTGCCAACGGCGACCCGGGCTCGTCGCGGTCCCCGCCGCACAGTGAGTAACACATCGCGCACCGAGTGACTGAACTAAGAAGAGCAAAACAACATGTGACTCTGCGTTACGCAGGCACACACGGCGCGGCCGCCCCGCCCCGCCGCCCGCATTGGCGCCGCGCCCCCCGACGGACGGCGCGTGCGGCCAATAGGCGCGGGGCTCGGGGAGGGCGGGCCGCGCGCCCCCGCCCCGCCCCCCTTTCTCCCGGGGCCGCGTTTCCCGCCGTCCCCTCCCCCTCCCGCAGAGGCTCAGGCTGGGGCCCGGGCGGGGTGGGGGCCGGGCCCGGCCTCATTAATCAGAGGCTCGTTGTGGATGCCGGCGGAGGAGATGCCACCCGGGGCGGGAAAAGGGGCGCGGAGGAGGGGCGGGGGCGGGCCGCGGCGCGGAGAGCCTTCCTCCCGCCTTTGACTCAATTAATTGGGCTCCGAGCTTCCGCCGGGGAGGGGGCGTAGGGAGGGGACACGGCGGGAGGCGGGGCCGGGCGGGGAGCGAGCGGGCCCGGCTGCCGGGCTGGGCGCGGAGGAGGGGGCGGCAGCGCGGCTCTCGGGTCCCGCCGCGCCCCCGCCGCGCCGCCCCCGCCGCGGCTCCGCGGGGGCAAGCAGGGCATTGAACTTGGCTGTCGTCTGGCTCCCTCGTCTCCCTCCTTCGGGCGAGCGGGTCCGGCGCCCGAGCTCGGGTGGGCGCGCGCCCGCCCCCGCGGCTGGTTTGCGCTTGGGTGGTTCCCGGGTGCCCGGCCCGCCGGTTGTTTACGAGCATCACATTAGTCACCGGTGAGCTCTGGGTCGATAACAGCTTTGCGCCCTTTCTCGGAAGGACAGACGCGGGGCGAGAGGGGCGCGGGCGGGGCGCCCCGGAACCCCGAGCCGCGCGGGGCGCGGGGCGCTCCCCGGGTCCCCCCGCTCGGGGGCGCCCTTCCCCCGCACCCCGCGGTCGCGGGCTCTTTCCGGGGCGTCACGAGCGCCATTCACTTGTCAGGTTCTCGGGAAGTTGAAATCGTGTTCGGGATGTAATAGGAGAAAGAGGAGGAGGACGTGCAGGCGTAGAAAAATGCGGTTTCCATAGCGCCGGGAGGAGGGCGGGCCTCAGCAGAAAGCAGCCCCGGAGCCGGGGTCTCCGCGCCGGCGGTCCTCGCGAGACCCCCGCGCCCCGGTGGCGGGCGGGCGCGCCCACACCTGCGGGCGCGGCACCAGGCGGCGCCCGCCAAGTTGAGATGCCCTTGAAGAACTGCCTCGGATTGTTGTATCTGCGTGGCTTTTGTGACTTTCAAAGTCAGTGACAAATAAGCACCCATACAGTTACGTCTCCTAGACGACCAAGTGACGGTGGTGAGGGTGGGGCTTTTTTGAGCTCACATCAGAGCAGGCTCCGGATCCCCAAAATCTAAGAAGGTCAAACAAAATAAACCCTTGCCTGTTTTTTTTTAATTGTGTGTCTTCATGAAACAATTTGCAACAATCATTTATCTTACTATTGATATAATCTTGGGTTTTTAAAATTCGGTTTAGGACGTTTATCTTTGAATGTTCCCTATAATTTATGAAAGTCTTTATTTTAAATATGATGAAATCTTAAATCTAAGAAAAGTTAAATTTGTAATTTTTGAAGGGATTATATTTATATTTTAACATATTCATATAATATTATCTTGGCTAATTTTATGGGTGGAGAGCACTGACTAATACAAAGATCATAGCATTTTTATTTTTAGCATATATACAGATATGATTATTGGTGAGTAGCATAAATTTGGGAAGAACGACCAGTGTGGCAAATATCATAAGATTTGCCTCAGTGGGATGTAAAGTTGATTTTCCATTTTTAAGCCATACCTTAGAAAAATAATACCTCAAGGAATGCCAGTGTAAGTGTGTGCACCTGTGTGTGTGTGTGTGTGTGTGTGTTAAGGGCACCACCTTTATTGAACGATGTGCTTTGGTTTTCTGTTCCTTTTAGATCCTATTGCTTTTTTTATGTGAACAAATGTTGCCTAGCAAAATGTCTACACAGAAAGGAAAGATGAAGGGATTCTTATCTTGTAGCTTGAAGAAAATGTGGCCCAACTTTGTTGACTTTGTGATAAGTTCCATCCCACTTTAGGAGGGATGCCGGTGGGCCTGCCTAGATGTTCCATAACCCCAAACAGCAGATGGTGACCGGCTTCCTCCCTTCAGCAGCGGGTAATGGCTTCTTCTGAGAAGGAATATTGTAATTGTTTCATTTTTTTATTTTGACTTTTGTTACAGAAGTAGTTTTTGATACATGTATCGAATATTTACTTGCTGTGCTAATCCGATGTGAGCAAGTGTCATCTCTTTTGTTTTTTCTTAGGGTCATGTTAGCGTCAAATGCAGGTATTTTTAAGGTAAAGTGTCAGATGCTCCAAGCTGGCAGTTTAATTAATGCTTTCCTCCTTCAGTTACCACACTAGGGGCAAAGAGGGAAGGGCAAAAACTTATCCCCTTATCAATGGAATTCTCATATCATACAAATGTCCAATCTACAACAAACTGCAAACTGATTGTAATTCTGAAGTTAGAACCTCTACATGGAAATGTGGGAGGTGCAATTTCAGTTCTCATTAAGAATCAGCCCATGAAGCAAACCAACAATAAGAAACTCTGTAATTAGAAGTATCTCTGTCTTCTTTCTCAACCAAGAAACTTGCTTTCTTTCTTCCTTTATATTGTCAGTTAAGCTACTTATTTATTTATTTAAAGCTTGTTCTACACCTTGTGATTTTCCAACTGTTCTTCCATACTTTTTCAGCAAAAGTCAGCTAACAACATCTGCCAACGTGCTCTGCACTCAGGACTGGGTGCTGCCCGCATGGCCTGTTGCCAGCAAACAGCCTGGATAAAATTTTTTCTCATGGTCCAAGATCTTTCACTGGAAGCTTTCTTTCCTTTCAGGGATAACAAATGGCCCTATCTTTTAGGAAAGAGGTTTTTTGTTTGTTTCTAATTTTAACATAGAGTCATATGCAATAATAATTCTTTTATTAAAAGAAAAAGTCCTTTCTGAAATAATTTAGTTACTTTTGATAAAGGAATAAATTATATAAAAATATAGAGATTAAAAATGTGTTGTAAGTCCACAATGCAAATACTACTAGTGCTAGTAATAATGAGCATTATTAGCTTTCTTTTTCATGTAAGAGAGACATGTATAGGAGAAGAAAGGCAGATAACACTTCATTGCTTGTGAGATTTTATTTCTCTTTTTAATTCTTAACTCAGGAAACAGGCAAAGAGGCAAACAAAAAATGTTTGCCTATATTTTGTATTTAGGTGAACTGGATCTAAAAACTGACTCAGCGGATTGTTAAATAGAATGCTATATAACCAGTTAGAATAGCTTTAATTTAAAATGTATACCTCTAAAGAGGTATACATTTTAACTTCACAGATTTATGTCAGAGGATACATTGGATCTTTAAAAGGTGTTGCAACATTTCATTGTATTTTGCTTTATTAGATAATATCATTCAGTAGCCCATTTAATTAATTTCCCTTTCTCTGATGAATGTACCATGTACACACTTTTCCTCATCTAGGCTTTATAAGGGGACTTCTTTACCAGCATGTTTTTCTGCACAAATTTATTTGCTAATATGTTTCAACTGAAATTTCACAAGAGTTTTGTAACATGCTAACTCCGTGTGCATGCAACAGAATGATTTACATGAGAGAATATAACTGCTCTTTGGATCACTTACTATGCATAGTATTGCAAACATTTAAAGAACCAGGATTTTTTAATGGAATTTATCCAATTCCTTGGAAATTGTTAAGGCTTTCTACTTTAGTATTTGTTTGCTCGTTAAAAATATTGATTAAATAGTCTCCTAAATGTTCATTTGAGGAGGGAGAATTTTCTAAAATAAATGATTATTTAATATGCATATATGGTTGGGTAAACTGTAACTTTTTAAATAAGAATTCTTCTGAAAAGTGTATATATTGAATTAATACTGTTTAGAAAACTATGTAGTCAGTACAAATGCAGTTAATCCAATCAATATTCAAAATACTTTCATTTTAAACAGTTATCTTAGAGAAATATAAACATACAAATGTCCAACTAAAAAGTGACTACAGTTAGTAACTTAAAATTCTTATTAATGCACCTCTGGATTTTGTTGTGTTTGAATTTTGAGAATGTATTTGTAGATTAAAAAAAAACAAAAACTTTTTTTCCCAAAAGGCTTTCCATTATTGAGATGAAAATTACACATTAATGGCTATGTAATATTACTGAATATAAAACAATGCAAGAGCCCCTTCTTAGACCATCACTTTTCCTTGGAATGCTTGGCCCCTGTAATATAATATACCAGTATTTTTCTTACTAAATTGATGCCCTGTGTATTGCTTGCTGTTAATGTTCTTGCTGCCAGTTAAAACTTTCTTTTTTTTTTTTCCTGCCAAAGCAGAACAAAATTGTCTGCTTCTCAGTCTGTACATCATAAGCAGATGACATTAAAAATGCCTCTAAAATGACACAGCTATATTTTCTGGGAGAGGGAAGGGGTTGCTCAGTGCGGATGACTGAGAGTGTCCTTGTGCAGAGTACAATGCTATGAGGGTGCAGGGATCAGCCTGTGTTCATCAATTCCCCTGTTGGCTCTAGGAGCAAGTTCTCACCCTGTTTTTGTAAACTGCTCAGGAGATAAACAGCAGGACGAGAGCCAGCTTGCTTTTTGTCAGATGCTCTGCTGTTTTTGTAGAGCTGTGTGATGGTCAGAGACCTTCCACTTTTCTGCGGTTGTTCATATGCTGTTTCTAGGCTTGCCTTCTGAGTCTGTTTTCTAGAGTTGTTTTGAAATTCAGCCTAAAGATAACAGAGGAAATATGACCCTCCCGTGTGAATGCTGCCACCAACTGGCAGTGTTTCTTCCTAAGGCAGAGCTGGTGAGTTGTCACCATTGGAGTTTTATAGAAAGTTGTTTACAAGGTAACATAAATTTGCTCTGCCTGAATCTTGAATAAAGTTGGTAGAAATAATTTGAGAGAAAACAAAGATGATGAGTAAGAGCAATATCACATGATGGGTGAGGAATGAGTACATTTAGTAAGTGGGAGAATTTATTTTTTTTTTATAGCTGAGTAAGTACCAAGCAAGTATGTCCACATTTTCTAATGTATTTCATATTCCATTTGCATATTTACTTAGTAGGAACAGTTGAATAGAAAATGTGTATCAATGTCCATTTAAAATTATAGAAAACTGTTTACCCAACAGAATAAAAAGGAAACAAGAATCTAAATTCAGTATTATTTTAAAATTTTTACTAAGTCAAACATGAGTTACAATCAAGATTTTCTTATCTTACAAGCAATGTTTTTATCATATTTCCCCCTACATTGATCTTTAAGTCTGAAATTCTTTTTAGAATAAGCTAAAGCCATCTCAAAAGATATTGACAAAATTTGAAAAACTATGGATGGGAAAGAAAACAAACTGAAATCTATGAAGAAAAAACATTTTAAAAACTATAAATAACAAATGGCAATTAATAAGTATCAAATGTGACTATCTTTTTGATTGAGTAAAATTATTTAAACTTATGTACTCATTACTAATTTGTCAATTTTAAATGTACCTATTACATCTTCTTTCTTAATCGCTTAAGTCTCAATCTTTAAGCAATGCAAATAGAAGGTATTCCAGTTAGTGGATGTGTTTAGATCTCTTACTCAATAGAATGAAAGGATCAGAAGACATGATTAATTTGCTACCAAAATGTCTTTGAAGTGTCTTTATCTATGGATGGAAAAAAACCCTGATACATAAAATAGCAGTAATAGTGGTTATAACTTGTGAGAGTAATTTGTCAGTGTACTTACATATAACATTTGATTCTTACCAGTATGTGGGGTAAATAAAAAAATATATTATTCTCCTACAAAGCAGATATTATAAATATATGATTATAATACAACTGGAAATTAAATTGAGGTCTCTTAATTCTCCTAATGTGTAGTCTTTACCAATCTGTCCTATGAGTCCACATGTATATACAATGTTTAAGAAGGAAGATTAGCTATTTGCATGTGTTATACATTTTTTCTTGTATAGAACACTTGTAACACAAGTGCTAAAAACTAATGTAAATTGAAGGCATATGGATTAGTGAGGTCCACAAGAAAATAAAGCAACAACTTTTGAAATTTATGCAAACGTCACATTTCCCACTAACTGTTAAATGGAGATTTCACTTCAGATAAACACATTTTAAAAATTACTACTAAAAGAGTAAGCATCTGCCTGAATTTTAATGTTTGCTAGTAAAGTTTTAGATATCAGCCTAAGATTGTCTTCTAAAAGAGAAAATAAATAAGAATTATATATTGAAAATATCTTAAAATTATATTTTATCCTGCAAGAATGTCTTTTTAAGGTAGTAAAAGTGAGAATTAAAAGACCATAATTCCCACTACTATTAAAACATACAGAAGATGAAATATATTGATATTTTGAGACTTGCTATTTTCTGTTTAGCAAGCTTATACCTAAGTTTAAAGCATCTTCACACTAAAAGTACAACACAATTTCAAAATGGTACTCACATCCATTTAAATTTATAAGGAAGTATATATTTAAAAGGAAATTAATACACAGATCATTATTTAGCCTCATTGTTTTAAGTAGTATTATTGTTTAGTTACTAAATAATAGAAAATGGGCTTATCCTTTGTTATGAAGGTACATTTATGGCTTTTTCTATTCAAAATATAAGAATCAGCAAACATTAAATTACTAAACATGTATTAAATATTTGTTAAGTCTCAAACATATTCTAAAAATTACCTAGTATGTAGGTGTTTGCCCCTTTAGCATTTTATCTAAATAATATGGCACTATTTTTCTTAAATGTTTGAGGGATTTCTGTTTTATTCCTTGTGCCCTTTGTTACAATATTACACATATAATTTTTTTTTATTTTTAATTTTTTTTTATTTTAGCATATTATAAGGGTACACATGTTTAGGTTACATATGTCACATATAATTTGGGTTTGTTTTTTTGTTTTTGTTTTTTTTTTTTTGAGACACAGACTCACTTTGTTGCCCAGGCTAGAGTGAGTGCCGTGACATCAGCCTAGCTCACAGCAACCTTAAATTCCTGGGCTCAAGCAATCCTTCTGCCTCAGCCTCCCGAGGGACTACAGGCATGCGCCACCATGCCCGGCTAATTTTTTCTATATATATTAGTTGGACAATTAATTTCTTTCTGTTTTTAGTAGAGACGGGGTCTTGCTCTTACTCAGGCAAGTTTTGAACTCCTGATTTCGAGCAATCCGCCCGCCTCAGCCTCCCAGAGTGCTAGGATTACAGGCGTGAGCCACCACGCCCAGTCTGTCACATATAATTTGAAAACAAAAATTGTCATATGTTTGTAACCATCATCGCATGTTTCTTAACTTTATTAATGCTTAATTTTAATTCCTAATGCTGTTTTTTACCTTCTTCAAAAGTTGTTGTTGTTGTTTTTTTTTTTTACTATAATGGTAGAGAAAGCGATTTTTATCTTCCAGCCCAGCAAGTTTCACAAAGCATCAAATATCACATTAGGCTACATATTCAGAAAAATTCCAGGGAAAAATGATATAAATATATAGTAAGAAATAAGAACTGAACTCTATCTTGGTTAAATAGATTTATCTTCTGAATAAAATTATGTTTGCACTTAGAAAAAAGAGGATAAATGAGGACAAGTAGAAGGTAAATTGAAGCAACTTTAAAGTTAATCTTTTTATGTGTCTTTTTACTTTAATTTATTGATGTTAAATGTTGCACAGTTAACGTTTAAGTTGATTTGAAAGTGATCCTGAGAGCCATTTGCAGTGGTGTCTGTGTGGCACGTCCACCTATGCTGTTCAGTGTCTTCTAAAAGCACTTTCACAGGAAGCATCACTTGTGTCATTACATTTTATTCAATATCCGGGTATAGAGGCTAGAGGAACAAGACTACATTTTTAATGGCATCATATTCCCTGTCATTCATTTCCAAATGTATGTTTGTCTTTTTCTTTCTCTCTTTCTTTCTTTCTCTCCCTCCCTCCCTCCCTTCCGTTCTTTCTTTCTTTCTTTCTTTCTTTCTTTCTTTCTTTCTTTCTTTCTTTCTTTCTTTCTTTCTTTCTTTCTTTCTGTACTGGACAGCATAGAAAGTGTTCAAATGTTTCTTAAATGTAATCAAACTATTTTCTGTTTGTCCCCCTACTGTTTTCTATTGGTTCTTTTTTCCTTTAATTTCTTAAACAAGCTTGCTTTTCCCATTTCTAAACAGAATTTGCAATCTCTAGCTAATTTCATAGGAGGGGAAACCGCTTTTATAGTTCCTCAGGTTTGTTTTCTGCATGATGTTGCTAGCCATGATTGGATTATAATTTCAAACATAATAATGCATAATTAAAACATTTTAGTGATAATAATTACGTGCCCATTTGATAAATAAGGCACATCCATCTAAAAGCGATTAACAATGCTCAAACTCAGCACTTGCTTTCCAAATTAGCAAGCTGAATATTTCATAGGAAATGAAGCTAGTAAATAAAGTCTCTAAATTTCAGTTCATATAGGTTAGTTGTAATGAACCAAATGTTAGTAATTGTATTTAGTTTATTTTTAGGTTGATTTTGTGAAGGTAATGTTTTAAACTACTGATGTCATATAGGTCTATAGTACAAGGAACTATCACTTTAGTAAGAATAATACTGAATAGATGGTTCCTAGTTATGTTATGTGTTGATAAGTTCATTACTAACCCAGTGAAATATTTGATTCTGTTGAATTTATCAACATGCCTCAAACATCTACTTTTTGCCAGACACCGTTTGATCCTGTGGACATCCAAATACAAACCTGCAACAACCGCACAGCTGTGCCTGTTGGGAGGGACAGTCCCTCGTGTGTCTCCTGTTCCCACTCCTCGTGCTGGGTAAGTTCAGTACGTAAGACCCCGACCTCACTTTACTCAAGCCAGTTCCAGGGGTTGTGCTTGCAGCAAACCACTATACAGGATGAGGTTTCCCTGCAGGACAAAGAGAAGTCTTGCTTATTTCCTGCTACAAAAGAGGTGGGTTCCCCAAGCACAGGGTGTCAGCTGAGACACAGCCCCTTGCAGGCGTGGCATTCATCAGGCGCCTCCGCATAGACCCATGGTGCTTGGGGAGGCAAGAGGAACAAAGGCACATCATGCTGCTTTCTGTGACAAGAGCCTCTGACACAAGAGGCTCGAGTCCTCTGCCAGCATCCATGTGGCGGTAGCAGGCTAACTTATTAGCTTGTAAGGAAAGCAGAATTATATCTCAGATCCCAACAGTGTCATTAGGAAGCTCACAGTCTAGTGGGAAGTGGAGAACCTACACGCAAATAGCCAAATCAAAAGGCCAATTGTGGTAAGTGCAAAATAAATGCAATTACATAGGGCAAAGTAGTGTATTATAAGCTGGCGTTTTATTTCCCTGGAGGAAAAGATGGATTATTCAATAAATGGGGCTGGCGTAGCCAGAAAATATATGTGAAGACGCATTAAAGGTGAATCCCTGTCTTCTTTCACTCAAGTGTCAGGTGAATCAAAGATTTAGATATTAAAACATGAAATCATAAAACTTAGGAGAAAAAGAAAAACATTGACAAATTTGTAGAATTCTGTAGGGGAAACAGTAAAAACAAAGTTAAGGTACAAACAGCAAGATGGGAAGCAAGATTACAGATGATGTGCTCATTGTATGTTCATTTAATACCTTACGAGCTCCTATAAGATAGTAATGAAGAGACCCAAAGCATGTTATAAAAATGGGTGGATGATCTGAACACAAAGTTCATAGTAATGAAATCAATGCAAGAAAGTCTTAAACATATGACAGCTTGCTGAATGTTTCTTGTAATAAGATTAATGTAGATTGAAACCACAGTGTGGTATGGTAGTTCACCTATCAGATTGGCACAGATAGAGAGGTTTGATAACACGGTGTGTTTGCCAGAATGTTGGGAAATAGGTTCCCACCCAAGGCTGCTGGTGGCACAGGCTGAAGGAGCGTTCGTGCAAGGCCATTTGACTGTATCTGTCAAAATGACAAATGTGTATGTTCCTTGACTCACAACTTAACTTGTGCATATGTGAAATGATTTCTTTACAAGGGTATTCAGTGCAATATTACTTGGAATAGAAACCTATATACATGTTCATTACAATAATATCTGAAATAGCAAAAGTTTGAATACTATGCAGCCATAACATGAACGAGGCAGCTCTATTTATACTGACCCAGAATAATATTTGAATATACAGTGTAAAGTGGGAAGGCAAGTTCCAGAAGAGGGTATATGTTGTAGCACTACTACTTTCTTATAAAAAAGGAGTGTGTGGGTAATGCATAGATACTCGCTAGAAGTAAACTCACAAACTTGGCAACTGTGGTCAACTCTACGAGCCAACCTGGGTTCCTGGGGATGGTGGGGGGAGGATTCCCATTTTGCCATGTTATTTTTTGGACTTTCTGAATTTTGTAACACATGTATGTATTAAATGCTCAACAGTGTAAGAATAATTCATTTTCATGTTTAAAAGTTCGGTAGATTTTGGAGATGGTTTGGATGTGGGAGCAGAAAGGAGGAATTAGGAGTGAGTGCAGCGTCTCGCATAGCTGCATCGGGCAGTGACAGTGTCTTTTCCTGAGGTAGTGGAGAGGAAGTTGAGAGATTATTCTGGACGTGTGGGTTTTGACTTGAGTGTCAGAAATCTAAGGGAAAATGTGGAAGAGGCTGTTAGAGAGGCTTGGACTAGGGATATCATTTCAGGGGAATGGGGGACACCGGGAGGCTGAGGAGTCACACGCGTGAACAGGGGAGAGGTCACAGGAAGGGAGGGCCAGCCCTAAGCAGTGAAGGCCAGTGGTCCAGTTGGCCCTCGAGGGGAGCCCTGTTGGGTCTGGCGGCACAGAAGCCATCGTGGATCTAGACTTGGGCAGCTTCCTGGTGCAAGGAAGATGGGGAGGTTGTGGATGCTGCCTGAGAAGGCAAAAGATAGAGACAGAGCTAGAAGGAGAAAGACAGAGAGAACAAATCATGTCACATGGTTTAAGCTCCAGTTCCCAAAACACCTGAGGTCCCCTCAGCATCTGAATGTAGTGCAAGGGCCGGTGAGTCTTCTTTGCTAATGGAGCTGGGGTGACCAGTTTCCTAAGCAGACTGGGACTAGTAGGCACCAGAGTTCTGACTGTTCCTTCTTGTCCTTGTCTGTCACCTGAAGATACCTTAAGCCAGGAGTCCTCACACTTTTTAAACAGAGGGCCGGTTGACTGTCCCTCAGACCATTGGAGTGCCATTGGAGAGTGTGGCACACATTCTACACATGCACACTGTGGGACCGGGACAAGACAGCTGCTAAGCAGGACAGGCAGCGGTGTCAAAAACACCCGGCGGACTGGATAAATGTCCTTGGCAAGCCGTATGTGGCCCTCGGGCCGTAGTTTGAGGACCCCTGCAAGCCATTCCCACAACTTTTCTGGTCATTTTTGGTTATTGGAGCACTCACAGTCTCAGACATTTAAATTAAAACCTTAATCTTTTTCCTTCTTCAAAACATCTCTTCTTCCCCGTTCAGGAACTCCCTAAACTTCTGGGCACCAGCAGCGAGAAAGGGAGGACTGGACCTGTCCTCTGGCTCCCGCAGCCCCAGCTTCTGCTCCTGCTCCTCTGGCTTCCGCAGAAGGGAAGGGAGAAGAGCCTACCTGAACATACTTTTATAATTTGGCTGCTTGTTCCTTCTCCCTGGCAAGTATCTAGATGCCGGGTGTTATCTCTGTATTTCTGGGCTCCCCAGGAGCTCCACCGTCAGCCAGCCGGAGTCTCCTCTGAGACAGGTCACTTTCCTGGCAGCCTTCTTGGGAGAAGACTTTGAGCCAGGCCCCAGTCCCTGCCCATGGTATCAGGTCAGTGGGGAACTCTGCATCCTTGCCCCTCCCCACACCTGTCCCTAATTTGGGAAGAGCAAGTCTCTCTCACCATTGCTCTTTTTGTCCTGTCACTGTGGGCTACTCCAGATGTTCTTCTTTCCTGCTTCTCTAGGTAATAGTCAACAGTCTCTTGGTTCAAATGTGCCCACCAATTCCAGGAGATGCCTTGTGTGCACACCCCTGCACCCACCCCACCCCCACATACCTTCCTGGAGCTCCTGGCCATGCCCCGCCTGATCCAGTGCGGCTCTTGTGAGATTTTACAGCTCAGGGACTTTTGTCTTCTTGGAAGTACATCCCGTATTGCTCAATGATTCTCACGGCCATCTATTCATTGACTTGGGAGAACAAATGCCGAAAACTCCAAACTAGACCAATAACTCCCTTCAAGGAAAGCCATAAACATAATCAGTCTCCTTGAATTCCTCCTCTTCATTTATATTGGCTGTTGGTGGGTGATGGGTGAAGGATCTCAGAAATGGTTTTGGCCACTTTTTGCAAGTCCTGTGGTTTTCCCGATCAGCGGTGAGGGCAATCCTGCTCCATCGTCCTCAGCTCCTAAGCCCCAGCTGAATCTCTGGGGCTCTAGGGAAGTTCCATTTAATATTGCATCACAGTCATTTCAGCTGAGACTGTGTTCGTTTGAGCAAAGCAAGCCTGGCATGTACCCCTCCTGTTTCTTATTCATTTCTGAGGCCTTAGGGTCCATTTTTTATAGAAGCTCTTTCTCCCCAGGAAGGCCCCTGTAAGTGCCAGGTTTATTACTGCTCCGTTTCAGCTCCCTGCCACCCATTTGGCATCCCCTAGGAATTCCCCTTCGCTTACACAGAGGTCCCAAATATCCTCTTCCTCTGCTCCTTGGCAACAAGTGAACGCTTGAGTAAACAAGTCAACACAGAGATCAATGCCCTGCCTTCTCCTGACCACACAGGCCGGTAGTTTTCCATGTGAAGGTTCATGACCAATTTTCACCTTTCCTAATAATCAAACCACTTTCCCTTTGCACACAGATGAGTGTGTATCTGTCTCTACAAAAACATGTACAACATAGAGGTAAACTGTATCAGATGGTCAAAAGGACAATGAGAACCCTCAAAGAAAGAGGAATGTCTTTCTATCAGCTTGGAAACAATGGAAAGAAAATAGGAGCCTTCTTTGGGACAAGTCAATAAAACACAAATATAATGCGGCAAACAAAGGTCGAGTGGCCTGAAGTGCTATAAAGCCTGTGCATTTGTAACGGCTACCACGTCAGTAAGTCGAGCTATGCCAGCCTCCTGGAAGCCCGGATATGTGTCCTTATCCCAATCACCATGCTCTATCCCTCCAAAGTAACCACCATCCAAACATTTATATTAATTGCTCCCTTACATTGTTTACTATTGCATTTAGATTTACTGTGTTTTTAATTCTACACCCCCCCCCATTCCATTCTTTTTCTTGTAGTTCATCTATTGAAGAATGTGGGCTCTTTCTCCGATGATGTTTCCCGCAGACTAGATCTTGCTAATTACTATTAAAATAATTGTACACAGCAGTTGTCCTGTGTCTCCTCCATGCAGCCGGATTCAAAGGTTTGATCACATTCCTTTGGCAGGACTACAGGTGGCTTTGAGCTCTGTCATCAGAAGGCACATGGTGTCTGATTTTGCTCCTGTTTGACAATGACAGTCATTGGCGCTCAATGCCTGGAAGCATAGTTTAGCCAGAAACTAGAAAATACTTATATTTTAATTCAATAATTTTGTTTTTGTTTATTTTCTAAAACAAATCTTACAAGGAGATCCTAGTCTAATCTTTGGTTGCCACTATGTACAGTTAAGGTAGGATAAGCAGAAAAAGTGCTTGATTCTTCCTTTTACTTGCTAATATTTTGGGATAATGAACTCGTTACTTATCCTCTTCAGAAAGTAACAATTTAAAAAATGTATCATTATGAACACAAGGAGTTAAGCCTATGTGTCCATCTATGCCCGCTTGGATGTGGTACAGAGCTCACTTTTGCTCTGGGCTTCACTCAAAACTGATAGTTTTAGTAATACCTAGACACTGGGTCATAACAGTGTTCCCAGTGACCATGTTGCCTCTAAAACCCCAAAAGAGCTATCAACCACTATGCTGATTTCTTAGTAGCAGAAAGCACAAAGTACAAGCTAATTCTTTAGAGCTGACGTCTGGTATCATGCCTAGCTCATTGGACAGGAACGATTTCACAGATGTGTCATTTTCTGAGTGTTTTTCAGGGTTATTGGACATACATTTTGGCAAGTCCGATCGATGTGCATGGTGACATCACTATGGTAGACCAGCATGTCATTCTGCATGCACGGGCTCAAAGTGATAGAGGTCCCTATAGATTATATTGTAACAACAACATACATGTGAATGCAGCTCTTTGACGTGACAGCAAACACACGTCTGTGCTTCCATCATCAAAGCCTACTGCTTTTGATCCTCCTAATGGGGAATATGAAGAATGCGTTTGCCAGATCGATAACTGCACACCAAATGGCAGAGACCACGTTTAGCACAGGTGAAGTGACTAGGACTACCGGTGAGTTCAACTACAGCTGTCCACCAGCACTGCCACTGTAGGGGCCATGGTGGCAGCAGAAGGGGGATGTGGTAGGGCAGATACCCCCTCACCCTTTAAGTCTCAAGTTGGCATTAACTTCTATAATTCCTCCAACAGTGAGCTGTTACTGCCTAGGCTGGAGGGAGAACAACAGATGCAGGGGCTTCATTGGTTCTTCCCACCATGCTGGCTCCTGTGCAGGTCAGGGTGCTAATTGGAGGGTTCTGTCAGTGCTGGCTCTAGTGTTTCTCAATAGCAGGTTAACTGAGACTTTGACCTGAACAATTCCTTGTGTGGGGGTGTCCTGTGGTCAGCAGCATCTCTGACCTCTACCCACTGGATGCCAGTATCACCCATACCCAACCCCTGAGGACATGAGAAGCAAGAATGTCTCTGGATATTGCCAAATGTCCCCTGAGGGGCAAAATCACCCCCAACTGAGAAACACCATGCTAACTATATCTGCCCCAATTACATATTCAAGAACACAGGCAATTAACACAGTGTGGGGGCCCTAGTGCTCTTTGGGCGAAGCACTGGCCTTGGTGTCCCCACTTTAATCCTGTGGGCAGGCAGGGCAGTGAGCCCAGGTTCCTGGTGTCAGTGTCTACTCAAGCCGTGTACTCAAGAGATATCAAAAGATCTCAGTGTTCCTCTTTTCCCAGCGTGTGATTCCCATTGGAATGACAGCAAGTGACTTTGGGGGAAATATTTATAGAATATTATTGTGGGTCTTTTCTCAAAGGGATGTGGTCTCTCCTTCAGTCAGAGGGCCCCGGGTCAGTGGACGGGCTCAGATCTGTAACCTGGCTGAGGGTCACAATTTTCCATCGAGGAGGCTGATGCCAGTCAGCAGCTTTCAATTTTTCCAGTTCTGAAGTCCACGACGCCTTGGCTAGCTGTGCATCCATTCCACCCCTAGGAACACCTGATCAATTAGCCGCTACCGCATTTCTCTTCAGCTCAAGGCACCCTGGTAGCCCCTCTGGCCCCACTGCCCATGGCAGTGAGCATGTCCACCTGTTACGAAGTCCCTGTCAGTTCAGTAGCTGCACGGGCCCCCACACTGTGTTAACTGCCCCAGTTCTCGAATGTGTAAGGGTAGATATATTTAGCACAGTGGCTCTCAATCAAGGGCAATTTTGCTTAGCTTCTGCCATTCCAGGATTTTATAATCCCACCTATGAAAGCGTCATGGTGGTGTCTCACGTCCTGCCCCCTCTCCCTTCCCCGGAGGTTTTCTCCATCACATTGATCTTTTCCCATCTGCCCACGTCTACTGTGCTCTCTCGGGTGTCCAGGCTTTGCAAAGGCCATTCCTTCTGCCTAAATTTCAATTTCTTACTTCCCTGTCCTCCAACAGGCTCTCACATATTTGTCCTCTGATCTCAGCATAGATAGAACTTCCTCTAGAAAGCGTATTCTAAACCTTAAACCCTGGCAACGGGCTTCTCCAATGCCCCTCCCCCGGCGCTCATAGCTATCCGTAGCCCTTCCTAAAATAGATGGGTGACTACATGTTCACTTCTCTGTATGTGAAGTCAGGACCACACTTGTCCTTGCTCTCTGCAGTGCCCTGAGGTCCCAACCCTGTGCCTGCACACAGTGGGTGCTCCATGGATGTTTGTTGAATGAATACACGACATGCTGCAGCCACCACTTAGCAAGCGCTTATCCAGTGTCAAGTTCTATGCCTGTCTCTTCACATAAAGCATCTCAGTTTTTTGAACAGTCTCATTAGGTAGACATTACCATGCTGTATTAAAGATGAGAAAGACAAAGTGCACAGAGATTTTAAAACTTACTCAAAGCCATAGAGTCAAGAAATAATAGTAATTTGCACCTTGGTCCTTTGAAACTAAAGTGTATTGTTTTCACCTGCTGCCAGCCACATGGAGAGCAAACAACAACTGTCCATGCTGATCTGCTTTAAGGTCGGCTTAGAGAGCCTACTCCCCTGGCAGGCCATACTGACATTTACAAAACAGTGGACATGAATTTCAAGATGGTATGATTCAAATGTTATTTTGCCATGAAGCCTTTCTGGTCCATCATAAAGCATATTGTTTTCTTCCTTCTTTGAATATTCATAATTTCTTTTTCACAACTCATGATTTTGCAACTGACTATATGCTGTCCTAACTCACTGCATACCCATTTCTTAGTCACATAGTACATGTCCTCAAGATCCTGTAAATGAAGGAGCCTTGCACTCTCCTGTTCTTAGTCGAACCCCAGGTGCTCAGAGAGCTGTGGTTGCCAGGAGGAGGGGAGCTGAGTGTAGACTCTCAGGCAGGGCAACAGTTGGGGGGGGTCCGACCTTTTTAGCACACCACAATGCTGACACTACATTGAAATACTTCTGTCAGTAGAACAAAAGCAAATTGTTCTATTTGCCCCCTTCTTCAGACCACAAAATACACATTGGAATCAAGAAGATGATCCCCAAGAGGAGCTCAAAACCAGAAACGACTGCTGGCCGTGGGCCCGCTGGCCAGCAGGCAGTCAGGGGCTGCCTGCAGCAGAAAGGTCCTCCCGTTGGGGACAGTCTGCAGAGTCATTTCAAGATGCCTGAACTTTCGTAATGAGGCACTGGAGGCCAGCGCTGATGCCAACTGAAGGCAAGGCAGGTGTCGGGCCACCTCTGCCCAAACAGACCCTGCAGGTGTGGAAGTCCCACGGAAGACGTCCTTGTCTGTGCAGCCTCAGGCCTGCCTGTCACTTAGTGACACGATGGCTTACCCATTGGAACTTTCGGAGCCAGGGACGCAGAGGCTGTAGCCCAGCCCTCGGTGGCAGCAGACAGTGTCCTGGGGTTAGGGGAGAAGGAAGGGACTGGGTGTCCTGGGCTAATCCTTCTCTGGACACCTTGTCAGGCGCTCCACTGGGGTTCTTTCAAGGGTGGCAAACTTTGTCCATAAAAGGCCATTTAGTAAATATTTTAGGGTTTGTGGACCATATAATTTTTGTTGGAACTGCTCGGCAGGTGGGTCGCAGCCAGGACTCTGAGCCAGCTTTATCTGATACTCAATCCCCTGAGCTTTTCCCTCGGATCACCCTGATAAAATGGCCACCACTTACACCTTCTGTGCCTGTACATGCCAGACGGTGTTGTAAGCACTCCTCAAAAAGTTAACTTATGTGATCCTCTTACATTAAGGATTTAACTTATTTGATTCTATGTATGGGGTAGGAATCACCTTTGTCTCCATTTTAGAAATGAGGAGGTGGAGGTGCAGGGAGTCTAAGAACTTGCCTGCAGGCGCACAGCCGACTTCAGTGTTGCTGGGATTTGAACCCTGGCAGACTGCCTTGAAAGTCTGGGCTCCTACCCGTGATGCTAAAATACAGATGAGCCAAACACCCACAGTAAAAGACACTGAATAATTGAATGCTCAACTGTGTGGTCAGGACTCAAAGTGGCGTCAGAGCTTGGAGGACGGTCCATGTGGAACGGAGCTGTCAAGGCAGCCCCCTGCAGGAGGAAGGAGACCAGGACAGGCGTGAGAGCGGAGGGGGGTTCCATCTGGGAGTGCAGGAAAGGACAATGCCAGTCTCCCTGGAATGCTGCTGTTTGCTCCTTGTCCACACGCTCTCTGTTTAACCCATAACCAAAATTTATCAAGCTCTTACAATGTGCCCTAGTCTCATTTCCCTAAAAGACAAATTAATCTGTTTTACTACATAGATAATCGGAGGATATTATTGAAGCTAAACGCAGTTTTGAAAATCTCCCTTAAGGGAAGCATGGCTCAGCAGCCGGGTGGAATCGGGCAGCCTGGCTCTGGCTGCTGCGCTGCCGTTTGCAGGGAGGCTTATCAGGTAGGACTTTTCCTAGCTCAGGTGGCAGAAAATGCAACTCAAACTGCCCTAAATCAAAAAAGGAGATTTGTTGGCCAGAAACGGAAAGGCCGGGTGGCGAACAGCCTATGTGCGCGGCCTGGCCTGGGCAGGGCCGTCCAGAACCTGCGCCCTCTCTCCACTCTGTGCCTGCGTCTCTGGTGCGGCGCGTCCCCCCTGCCCCAGCGCAGCTGGGCGGACACAGGGGCCGGCAGGTCCCACGCCAGCACTTCAGGTGGAGGACCTGGAGCCTTCTACACTCTGTCTCTGACCAGCTGACAGAGGTCACATGGACATTTTCTGGGCTGGTAGAACAGGGGACTTGGGCAGTTCAGGTCACAAACCATCCCTAGTGCTTGAGTGGATTCAACCTCTCTAGGCCATTTTGAGTCCTTGTCACTTAATTTAGCAAGGAATTACCCAATGCTTTTCTTTACTGTGGTGGATAGAGCTGTTCCTTCCAAGCAAAAGTCAGGTGTCCTCATAAATGAGTTGGAGTGGCTGCTAGTGTCCTGAAAACAATGTTTTCCCACTGTTAAATAACCCTGGGCCTATCCCTTATGCTTCATTTCTCTTAATTTCCTCATTACCTATGTGCCAAATACCCTAAAAGACTGATATATTGAATGCCATTTCTTTAACATTGGGTTGTTATTTTACCCCCAGCCTCACCCGTGCAGTTGGCCACACCTGCTATCCCCTCTTGAGCCTGTCACCGTCCACAATGCCTCTGGTACAGTCCTTCTTGCCCCACACCGTGTTATCAGGTGAGGTGGGTGTCCCCGAGCCTGGGAGGAGGCGCCCATGAGAACCTGCACCACCTCCTTTTAGGATGTGCTCCACAGACCCTGGGCTGCCCACGCAGGGCTGATGCTGGCTGTGGTGCCAGCGCGGAGCTGCAGTGCAGGACAGGTGTCTGCTGCCCGTGCACAAAGGCCGCTCCAGCACGGAGCTGGGGCCAGAGAAGGAGGGAGGCAGGCTGCAGGCCAGGCCCCGGGGCCAGCTCTGCTCACCGGGTTGGACATGGAGCTCTGAGGAGCTTGAGAATTCTAAATAGAACCTGAACTTGTGGCCCCTTATAAAGGTTTATTTGTTAAACATCAACAAATCGATAAATAAAACAGAATCGATTGTATTGACAGTTTTCCGGTCTGGTTTATTCATATGAGGTTTGGGGCTCCACTTGTGCCCCTGTACTGACTCTACAATTTCTCAGCAAGAAAGCAGCGCATGGAGAAAAACCAGGAAGTGCAGAGACAGCAGATTTAAACTGGAAAGTCCAGACTGGAATCTTGAGAGAGTGAAGGGGGAAGGGTGGCGGTGGCAGGGAGGAGAGAGGGGAAAGGAGGAGACAGTGCCATGCGGATATGGGGATGGAGCGTTGTCAGAGGGTCGGGAGCCTCGATGGGGAAGAGAGTCTTGGGGGCAGCAAAGAGTACGAGGGGGCGAAGAGGAGGAGCTGGGAAAGTGGGCACCCACGTGCCGCTCTGGGTCAGAATGTGCGATGCTTTTAATGTGAGGAACACACCAAGAACTACCCGTCACTTTTAATCTCATTTGGTTAATATCCTGTTTTCTTTGAATGTTAGTCCAGAAATTTTCAAGTTGTGGATTACTACTCATTGATATGTGTTGAAAAAATAGGTACTGTTTTAAATTAATAGGATAGGCTGGAAAAGAGCGGACGGTGGCACGTGGCGAGGAAAGCCTTTGCTAGAGGAGACTTGCTTCCCTCAAGTGCGAACGCACAGGATCACGATGGAAGATGGTTTTCTTACGGGTGGCAGTCAGCAAGTCTGCAAGTCCCTGTAGAGTGCTATACATCATACTTATGTGTGTCTTCTGAGCTAATAAATAACATGTCTAGAGTTGAAGTATAAAGGCTGGCATGTAGCTGGCATTAAAATCGGTTTCATACCATCCCCTACCACATAGAAATGAGGTTAATTGCTCAGTGACAAATAGTAGCAGAGGTAAGTCTCCAATTCAGATCTCTATTCATAGTCTCCTATCTCTTCCAAAATTGAATACACCTTTATTAGAGATACCTGGCCATAATCACCTAAGATGATGTTGTCAGTACTTCTAGAGGGATTTAAAGGTTTACCTCAATTCACGATACTCAGTAAAAAAGTGATTAAAAATTCTATACAATTCTATATAGGAATGTTTTTCACTTTTGAATTAAGGTATAAAGTACAAAAATTCTTAATGTACAGCTTGATAAATTTTTGCCTTTATGTATGCCTGTGTAACCAAGCTCAAGCAAGAGCACTGGAGCACCCTTGATGGCGTCCCACAGTTAATAAATACGTCTTCCTACTGCGGAGCAGTGTCACCTGCCTGTAGCTTTGCATCAGTGGCACCATACAGTGTGTCCTCTTTCACTCAACATTTGGCTTGTGAGACTAATTTGCACTGTTGCCGATGGTAGTGGTTTGTTCCTTTTCATTGCTGCGTAGTATTGCACTGCATGAATATATCCTAATTTACCATCCATTCTACTCTTGATGGATATTTAGTTTGTTTCCAGGTTTTGCTACTATTAAAATAGCTTACAGGAACATTCTTGTACATGTCCTTTGATAAAAATAAATCCTACTGGGTATTTACACATGCCTGCAGAAGAATTTACATAATGACAAATTTATGAATAGAACAGTTTATTAAAATATTTACAATTAAGAAAAGAAACAATATAGATCAACAGGGAAAGATAGATCATAAATACACAATCTTGGGAAGTGGTGTTTATATATGGAGAAAAGTCAGTTTTGATTTTTATCACACCATTTACCAAAATGAAAGCATTAAGTAAATGAAACTATAATAAATTGTAAGAAAACATAAGCAATAATTATAACTTGACAAAGAAGGAATTTCTAAGTATGGAAATTTATCCAATAAACCACAGTGGAAAATATAGAGAAATTTTGAGTGCATAGCAATTTTAAATTTTTGCAGGTCAAGAAATATAATTAACAAAATTAGGACTTATCACACATAATTTGGAAAGATATTGGTAACAAATATATCACAAAGGATTAGTAAACTTCTGTAATCAAAGTTCACATAAATGGTTGAGAAAAACATCAACCCAAGAAAAGAGTTGGAAAAACTATAGAAATGGATTTATATATGTGGTTAATAAACATGAAAACACTTCAACCTTATTAGTAATGAAAGAAAAGCAGATTAAAACCTGGGGGCATCGTTTTTCATGCATCACAAGGTGCACACATTTGACACTCTTAACACTGAGAGCTGGAGGAATTGCAAAGAGAGAGGCGTTCTTGTGTGCTGTGGGGACAACTTCTCTGGGAAACAACTCAGTAACATATGTGTGTGAAACTTAAAAGCATTTGCAGCCTTTGAACCAGCATTTCTACATTCAGGAATCTGTCCCTCAGGAATAATGCAAAATACAAATGGAAAAGTATGTATAGCACATTCATCAAAGTGTTATTTATCATCACAAAGAAATGAGAAAAAGTGATATTAATAGGAAGATACAGCAAATGACTATTGAGTGTATGATGGAATATGATGCAGGCATTAAATGATGACAGTTATTAAATCATGCAGAGCAAGGACATGATTTAATGGCCAGGCAGCACAGCCATCACACCTTCAGGAGCAGCCTGAGCAGCAGCCACTGGGCAGGACAGATCCAGGACAAAAGACGCCATGCAGGAGCCCAGTCCATCATACTGCTGGCTGCAGCAGCAGTCAAGGGATGCAGATGGTTGTTGCCGGGAGAGTTTGAGCCTTGACCTGTGAGCCTTTAAACCGCGAGATTGGGGAAGTGGCACTGGGGTGTCTTCATGACCTTGGATAATTCCAGCAGCCAGGTGGTGAGATTACTGATGGCACCAGGAGACAGTGGGAGGATGGTTGTCCACCTGCTCTTGAAATAAGGATACTTCTGGTCACTTCACGGGGAGTGAAGATTGCTGTGGGCTCATCCAGTTGAGTACAGGACATAGAGGTGGGAGTAACACAGGGTAGGGGTGGGGGGAGAAAAAGCTGGAGAAAGATATGACAGACACCAACTGATCAAAGAATGTTCCCGTATATAGAACCAAACACAGTGAGGGACTAAACATTCTTCTTTGACAGATGAGAGAATCTGAACAAAAAATGAAGAGCAGTTACTATTCCTGTGATCCTATCTTTAACTTCATTTTGTGCTGAGCTAAGGAAATGTTATAGGTTCCAAAGAGAGAGAAAAAGAAAAGGAACAATGTCACCTAACTCACTGTGAGAATGAAAGGGAGCAGAACTGTGGGAAACTAAGACCAGCAAGTTTCTTTGCTGCTGCCCTTGGGCTAAACCAGGTTGTTTTTATGACTTGATTATGTAACTTGAAGTTTTTAAGAAGTTAAATGAGTGGCAAACATCAAGCAGAATTTGTAGCATATTTACAGGTTCTCTCAAAGATATGCACAGTGATGACACTAACATTTATATTGTACTTTCATGCATATCTTCCTGCTGATTCATTGCATGAACCTTGTCATTATGATTCGTGTGTCACAGGTGAGTATCTGAATGTTCAGGGTTGTTATCTGCCACGATCAGGGCGGCCCCATGCAGGGAGCACTGTTGACAGTGTAGTATTTGTGGGTGATGGCCCTGAAGATAGGCATGGCTCTAGGAGGTAGTCCCAGCCGACTCAAAGTAAATGGTAAAAGGTGACTCTCAAAGCTAGATTCTTTGTCATCTCATTCCAGGGTATCACGGATTACTTGAATCTGTAAATAAGGGAAGAAAAATTTCTCTCCTGCCCTTCATTTTCGCATATTACAAGATATAAAAATTTATATTGAAAATAAGCTTCCATTCATATATGACTTACTGAGGAAATAAGTCATCCTGCTAGAGTTCAATAGCTTTACAATTTTAAGAAACTTTGTTCAATTGTATTTTACTTGGTATTGCTAACTATTGGTGTGACATAGTATTCACATCAAGCGTTATTTAAAGAATAAATAGTGTATAAAATAGTTATATGTTCTTCCTAAGTATAAAAAAAGAATAAATCATTACAAAGTTTTCTTAATAGCACTAGAATGTTTATAGCAGCACAATTCACAATTTCAATGATGTGGAAACAACCTAAATGCCCATCAATACATGAGTGGATTAATAAAATGTGGTATATGTATACTATGGAGTTCTACTCAGCTACAAAACACAATGGTGATCTAGAACCTCTTGTATGATTCTGGATAGAGCTGGAGCCCTTTCTACTAAGTGAAGTATCACAAGAATGGAAAAACAAGCACCACATGTACTCACCATCACATTAATATTAATCAACACTATGTGCAAGTATGGCAGTAACATTCATCAGGTGTCTAGCAGGTGTGGGGGAGAGGGGATGGGTATATTTACACCTAATGGGTGTGTTGTGCACCGTCTGGGGAATGGACATGCTTGTAGCTCTGACTTGGGTGTGACAAAGGCAATATATGTAACCTAAACATTTGTGTCCCCATAATATTCTGAAATTTTTAAAAAAATTATAAAAAAAAAACATTTCTGGATAAAAAGTAAAACTTTGAAAGCCTCTAATTTTCCCTTTCTCGCAAACGTGTAGATTTGATATCCTGAAAAAAATCTCTGCTATACCTGTAAGGAACAAACTAAAACACAAATCCATATCCTTTTAAGTTCACAATGAGCTGGCAAGAAAGTATAAGAGACCTAAGGGGACAGGACAAAGGGGACAGGGATCCAGCACGGCCCACACAAAGGCAGAAGATGGTTCAAGGGCTCTTGGAAAGGGAGAGTCTGGCTGGAACTTCCCAAAGCCATGTTTGGTGGAGGAAAAACACAAAAAAGTATCTGCTCTTTAAAGAGAGAGAAAGTAACTCAAATATCTAGGCACGGAGATCAACAGTCAACAAACAAACAGATGATGATTCAGATACACAGGGACACAAAACAGATGTTGGAATTATCAGATGCAGTGTCCTTATCGAAAGGTTATTTTCTAAAAAGAACCCAAAATTAAAGTGTGACCAAGTTAGGTTTATTCCAGAAATTTAAATTTCACTCAATATTTAAAAATTATTAATGTAGTTTATCACACTAATAAATTAGAAGAGCCTAAGATTGTCTCAGTAGGTATAACAAATAGAAGACAAATTTTTACATTTGTTCAGTTTAAACCATTAGCACATTGGAGTGGAGAACTTCTTTAAACTGAAAAAATTGAACCTACCAAAATCTTAGGGCAAACATTGTACCAAATGGTAGAATTTGAAATGTTTGCTTTCAAAAAGCATTAAGAAAGGTTGCCCTTACAACCACATTTTGGTGGCTCTAGCCAGTTTAAAGATGAAAAAATTTGAAAG